AGTGGAATGAATGACATTAGTTTAATCTCCAACAATATTCAGGCACCAGTCATAAGTTGGATGAGATGAAGATTAAAAATACACCCCAGTCATCGTGGTTGATAAGAGGATTTTTGTTGGGTCCTTGGGCACTAGAGTAGACAGTTGTTACTCTATGTATGGCATATGAACCCATTACCTTAAACTCAGCTTACTTTTCTGCTGTATTACATCTTGGTGTATGATGCATGTTAATTTTTTGTGTTTTTGGTGTCAGTTTAAATCTGCCAGGTATAGCTGGTCCAGTCTTGTTTGCTTGTTTTGTAGGCAATTTTGTTTACATGCTTTATCCTATCACCCATACAGATCAGCTGGTTCCAAGTTAAGTGGAGCATGCTATGCAGTTAGATTTATGTTGCACATCAGCAACAGTGACACTCTCAAATCAATCTATTTGACATAAGCACTGTCTTCATAAGCCAAATGCTAACCTGTCATGCTTTCATAAATGAGCATATTACACTGGGATCAAAATCTTCAGTAAACTGCCATTGGATATCAAAGTCTTATGAAGGAAAAGGCACGATTTAAAGAGCACTAAAACGACACTTAATGACAAACTTGTGCTACTCTGTTGATGAATACCTATTGTCTGAACAGTAACTCATCCATGTGAGGGTTGTGTAAGTTGACAGTATGAGATTTGAAGGGTGTATAAATATAGCATGAGTTGACAGTGTGATGTATCTCCGAATAACCTTATGTGTAACCATTGCTGTTATTGCTGTTTTTAGATATTCTTTGTATTTATGACATGTTCCACATCCTACAGTCATTTGACTAACTTTGGATCTATGGAATGCAATGTAATATAACAGTAACAGTGATCATTCCGGTCCTACATTTGTAGTATTTGATGGGTCAGTTATCAATACAGGCAGATTAGTGTCTCTGTTCATTATAGTTTTCTCCCAATTTGTAATTATTATTATTCCTATTTTGGGCAGCTGGGGATGGGGGAGTTGGAATGGAGAGACTGGTCATGTAGAAGTAATCAAGAGGATTGGGCATTCTGACCTGGATAGGTGACTCTGTTTTTTCACAGACTGCTGACCTCAGCCAAACTTTCTCTTTATCATCGAAATGTCCCTCTGATGACAGATGCCTGAGGAGCAGCAGGATGCACACCTGACTGCAGCTGTGATGCTGAAACCCTGATGGTGGCTGAATGTCTGCAGTGGTTTGTTACAGATGTTGCTGGTATGAAAGCTACCACTACTCACTGCAATGTTGGTCACACTGGGTGGAAATCCTGTGGATCTGCCACTGTGGCTGGAGTGCCTCTGTTCTTGTGTTAGGAGTTACTTATATTGGTGCTGTGACAGTACTCGCCATGTGCCGTAGTGGCACATACATGCACACAAACATACATTAATTTCACTTAGTGGGTGGGTAAAGTCCAACTGTGTCCACTAATTCGCCTATTGTACCTGCCCTGGGTGATTATGATGGAGAAAACCAACCCCAGCGCCACTTTGTCCACCACAAATATCACTTGACCAGACCTGGGATCGAACCCGGGTCGCCACGGTGGAAAGCCAGCGACTAACCAATTGAGCTATGGCGCGGCCAACACACATAAATACTGTAACATGTTTTGTGTATAACACGACAAGTAACTTCACGCTGTATTGGATATAGTGAATTTATTGCACATTCGCTCTCCACACTTATACAATTCACTATCTCAATTGCTGTTCAACTGCATCTCGGCAAATCCATTCAACTGTCTTCGGCAGCCGCTACATTTTAACTGTCTTCTTAGTCCAAGTCCAAGTCACATTGCGACTGACGGTCAGTCAGTCAGTAAGTCTTGGTGTCGAGCCCCATATTTATTACCTTTAACAATTACGGTCTTGTTTTTGTGGAGCACCCTCTCTGACGAGACAACAGGCGTGCCTTTTTTATGTGCTGCTGGCCCTTGCCAGTACAGTCTTTCTAGGGTCTGAGTCCCTTGGGACTTGAGACCATATTTTACTGTCTCAGATTTGAGACTTCCCTTTTCGTCACCTCTTACGACTCACAGGGTCACGGTGGAGGTATTCGACCCTGCCTCCACACGGGGTAGTCTTCTTAGGCAGTGTAGTTCTCTTATAAACCCTCAGCCAGACAACGGAAAACGCCTCGCTTTCTTGTTGCCTAGTCGCCATGTTTACAGATGTTGCTGGGCAACACTGTCGGGAGTTGTTTACTGCTACATAGCAACCGCAGCATCACCTGCTACGTCACCGCTAGGGAGGGGGGCGGAGTGTTGACTGGTCTGTTACCGTAGCAGCAACAGCGCTCCGATGTTGTTACGTCACCGCTGGTGGGGGAGGGGATGTCCATAGCACAATATGTCACAATACATACATTAGCCCTTCAACCGCCCTATGCTTCTGATGAAGTGCAGGATTCTGCTTATACATACATGTGACAGTGGAAGAAACTACAAAACTATTGTGAGGGCAGGATGACAGGGGAGTGAACTTTTTGGCTTTATTATGCAAGACCACTGTAATACTGTGGCCTGGTTACAGAGCACAGGGACAATAATAAAACTTATTTGAGATACCATTTTAATAATTTTTCTATTAAGCAACAAATACACTCGTAAAATTCATATACACTATACATACAGTTCAGTTTTTAAAAAGATTGATTATTGCATGCAATAAATATTGTACATTAAGACAAACACTTATATCAAAAAGGAGAGCTATATAAATACAAAAATAAATTTGAATCAAGACCTGTGGGTCTAAGTACTTGATGTTCTAGCAAATACTAAACTGAAAAGACTGGAGTGGTTGTGGAATGCAATTAGAATAGATCAAACAAGGGTAGCTAAGAATATTTTTGAAAGTGAGCCAGAAGGAACAATAATAGTGGAAGGTCCAGGCTGAAATGGCTTGAAGAAGTACAAAAAGATTTATGAGAGCTGAAAGTAAGGACATCAAGGTAAATATCAAATAAGAATGTAGAGCCAAACAGTAGGTAAATAAAATAAAAAATGTTGAATGAAGGCAGCACATTGTAATGTATGAAATTATGTAACAGAAGAAGCCTCTTAGTTCCCTGCCATATTGACATTACTGTAAATGTATGGTACTTTCCAGGAATCCCAAATATTTTAGACAAGTTGATGTTCCACCTGAAGCCTGGAAAATGCAAGTACGACCCATTTCGACACCCATAATGCATATTTCTTGTATAACATGTCACATTGAGTTAATATAATGCTCCACCATATGTTTCCATTAAAATTACATCTTAAGAAGTAATGGCGCCACTATTTCCATATATGTCCATAACATTTACTCAAAATGTGCCGTCAATGATATGAAAAAAGGTATAGTTCAGGACAAGTCTTTTGGTCAGTCAAGGACATAAATTCCTTACCCAACAATCCATCTTTCCTCCTCCCTACCTCAGACAAGATAGTGAGGGGGAGCTTTGTAGGTCGTAGTGTGAGGTAATTGAACAACTTTCACTTCAGGTCCACATTTCTGATAGAAAGGTTTTTCATATCATATATTTCTAGATGATTTTGGGAATATGTTTCTTTCGTTTCAAATTTCTGTTTGCAGTTAAATCAAATTTTGCACAGTCTGGAGTTAATAAATTAATTTCTACGCAAATGCACCAGTTATTCCAATATTAAAACATCATGTTTGCTGTGCTAAATGATGAAATTGGAGGAATAAAAAAAGGAATTGTTGCACTGACGGGCTGTGGTATACATAGAAGTTTTAATTAAAGATTTGCAACACGATGCTGAAATACAGTATTCCAAAATGTTTGTGGTTCTTCTCAGTAAATGTCAGGACTACATCTAAAGACATGACTCCTTGCTTCCCAATTCACAATCACAACCATCCTCCCATTTGACACAAGACCTAATCACTTGAGAAGTTATGAAAGAACTGTGGCATATAGACCCATTTCTAAGAGGTGACTCTGTAAACATTGGCCTGCTTGCAACAATAGAGGTGTCTTGATACACGACACATACGGCTGTTGCTATGTAGCGCCCACAGCATATGCATGCCTAGTGACACACAATAGAAGAGGTGATGCAGGTGGTGGTCACTGTGGGTCCACTCTGAGGCAGTATGACTTGACTGACCGTGTTCTGTTCACTGAGTGCAGTGCAGTTGAGGGTTCAGTTGTGGAGTGTTAACAAGTGGGCAACCAAAGCTGAAGAATCTCTATTGCTGAGATCTTTTACCAGGAAACTTCTAGTGAAAATGTTGCTGAGGAATAGCCATTGTGAAGAGCAGTTACCAAATAAAGACCAGTGAATGTACACTGAGAAGACTTGAGTGTGGAGTGATTTGTAATGTGGAAATCAGCAATACTATAATAATTATTTGTACTTATGACCTGTAAGTGGTCAATAAATCTATTCACCAATCCAAACCCCACCTCTAGTCACTACTACATGGGACAGTACACTGATGACAAGGAAAAAAGTCCAACAGATGCTTAATGCTGTAGTTCCCTCAAATCTCCTCTGACATTTGCCATTAGTTTATTACCACATTTCTGTGAACAGGCTCCAGCATAAGCTAAAACATCTGACAAACATTTTCGTGTGTGAGATTCCTAACACTTTAGCAGTGTGGGACGTAGGTATGATGTAGGTGGGTGAGCAATATTGAAATGGATCTGGGAGAGACTGGATGGGGTGGTATGGGCTGGATTGATCTGGCTCAGGATAGGGACCAGTGGAGGGCTCCTGTGAACATAGTAATAAACCTTCGGGTTTCATAAAATGCTGGGAAGCTGCACAATTGGTGGCTTCTCAAGAAGGGCTCAGCTCCATGAAGTAAGCTAGTTAGTTAGTTGCAAACCTAGGTATGGAGAGAAACAAACTCTGCATTAGAATAACCTTACACCCTCTGTGTTCAGATTTTCAGACAACAGACAGACCTAACTCAAGGAGTTGGACATCCAGCAGTATATCCAGGCAGGCTCTATACTTTCAGGTAATTTTAATTTCTATATGTCCACTCTTAAAATATTATAATCTTAAAATCATTCCTGTACAACAATCAAGTAGCCAAAGCATTGTATTTTCACCAGCTACAACTCTCAACACAATCCAAGAGATCTGTGGTTGGTCCACAGCCAGTTCACATATTTTTTGAGTTTCACATCAGTTGGTCTCACTGATTTCCACTGATTGACACAGAAAATCTTGTAAGAATCGTTTCCATACTTTCCAATTCCAAACAGTTCTTTTGCATTCTTCCAATTCTTTGTCACATAATCTCCTGAAATAAGGATATAATATGCATTACAAAAAAAGTAATAAAAAACAAGAAGTTCTGGAAGAACTGCATACTTTCCTTTCATTACAAATTGAGTATTTGATATAATAAGTAGAAAACCATTTTACTATGTATACTTAGTGGAACCAATAATACAATAAAATTTTGAGAGGGTGCAATGATAGTATTACTGACTGGTGGGGGGTTAAGGAGCATGCTTTTTCAGATGGCATGTTATGCACATGAAGTTTCATTTCTGACATTCAAGTAACATTAATGTTATTATTACCTTAGCAAGTTGGGAGGCAACAATGCTGATATTACTGATGGGAGAGATTTATAAAGTACACCATTAAGATGCCCTCAGATGTATGATACACATAGCAAACTTCATAAGGATCTGTACAAGTAAAAGTTGTTACAGTGGGGATAATCATACAGACCCACAGTCAGCAAGGTGATCACATACACTGGCTTTTATTATTTCAAAATAAAAAAACAGACTAAAAAATTAGAAATATGAAATCTGGTAACACTTAAAATAAAATGTTAACAGCAAAATTAAATTACAAAATAAAGAAAGTAGGCTAACAAGAGGTTCTGGGAAGAACTAATGACCTACTTTCCTTTGATATGACATAGACCACATCAAAAACGATTGCATCCAACAGTACTTCTATTGTGTGTGTAACATTTTTACCGAGCTGTTGCCTACCAACAATTTTGGGATACACACACATATGGATTTGAAGGATTTATGACATACACCAGTGAGATGGGTTTAGGTGCCATGGTATACATACCAAGTTTCATAAAGAGTGGTTCAGGTATTCAAAAGTTGATGGGGGATTCACAGAATCTCATAAGTCTACTTTCAGTTTTTCAAAATTAGGAAAGTAACTAAAAATTGCCAAAACATCGAACTAAATAGCCCTTAAAGAAATGACAATTGCTAGTTTTACTGCATATATCCAATTATATTATGTATTATATGACAAACTTTGTTACTGAAGATCTGAGAGCTCTCATATATTTAAACAAAGAAAATGCACATATGAATCAAACACAGGGGTTCTATCCATCTGCCTGTGACATTCAGCAGCAAAATTCTTAAGAGGGAACTATACTAATTTTACCACAAAACTTACAATGTAATGTATTCCAGAATATTTGCATGAATAATAGCATGGCGTAAACTTTTAATTTACCACAACTTTGGAACCTTGTTCATTAGATAGGGAGTTGTATGAGCCTAAAGGAACTACTAATTACAAAATAAAATACCACACCAATACTTACGGGACATTCGCTTGATAGCATAGGCACGTGTCTCTTGTAAACCCAATGGACGTAGGAACTGAACAATGTCCAACTGATTTGCATCTATTATTGATTCAGGTGTCGGCCAAGAAGCAAAAAATTTGAACAGTGAAGGAAGAGCTACCTCAGCTGAAAATTAATAACACTGTCCATTATCTAATAAAATATGCTGTACACAACATAATTGCACAATGCTTTTAGCACTGACACCAGATCCACCATTTTAACTTAGTACCTTTCTCAACAACCTAGTATGAACCAGAAAAGTATTTTTTTAATTACGAGCATGGACACATCACAATCAATTAAAAAGTTCTAAATTGTTTGCATGACTCAGACAAAAAGCAGCAAGATATTCTGAAAATGTACGAAAATAATATAGTTACAAATTTTAAAAAAATTTTGAAGCATCATCCATGGGTGTCAGAAATTTTCAGTACAATATCAAAGATTACAGTCTTTTGGAATGAGATACCATGCAGTTTAGTAGATATGTACCTGTCCTGAAAATGAAGGCTACAAGTTCCTCCAAAATGTTAATGCCCATCCTACCAGACAGCATGGTGTCACATACTAGAAGACCATATATCTCAATACACCCTGCTTTGAGAACCTCAAATCCCAGTATTAACTACACGTGAGCACAATAGATGGCAAATCCTTCGGCTTACACGACATAAAATTATTCTTCACAGTCTGTGTTTGAGGTAAGAACCTCAGTTTGCAAAATTCCAGCCTGATATCTGACACAGACAAAAGCAAAATGATAAAGAGGCAGAAATATGATTTCAGGTTTTCACAGCAGTGAAGATTATTATAGTAATATGAACTATGATACCACGGAGTCTGCTACATGGATACCAACATTTCAGAGGATCATACTCCCACCACCTCTGTTGTACCCTGAAGATTAAGGGAGAATGCTACTCCAACACATTGGTACCCACCTAACAGACTACGCATAGTAGTAGTGAACTGACATATAGAATATTGTGACATAATGCCTGAAAGCTGGAATAGTGGTGCCAGAGGTCCATTGATGAGCAACGGCTAAGTGAACACTAAGTTTCCATTACAACAGCTAACTGAAACACATTTCCACGGCAATGAGTACACTAGTATGAATCGTGGTGTTGCCCAGAGACTGTTGAACATTTTCATGGTAACAGAGAATGACAGAGAACAATCAACTGTTCTACTCGGTGAATTGTATTCAGTCCGCATGAAGTTAGTTCAGTCTGAGATACAGAGATCCAGAAAGAGAAGTTAAGAGAGTAGAAACCACTCTGAGAACCAGACAACAGGGAGAGATTTGTAAAACAGATGTCCTTAACGTGGAATTCAATGTGTGTGAGCAGTTGTAATCAAGCATAATTGTAATACAGGTGTCCAATAAATCCAATCATCAAATCTAAAACCCACAACTATTCATCACGCTCTCCACTGCTCCTATTGGTCCGCTCTCCCTAACCACCCCCCTGCCTACTTCCTACATAAAGCAGCGCCTTTCACTTCCTAATCATTACAGCTACTGCTCTCTGCATTCACAAGCCAATTCACCTGCTCTGAAGATGGAGGCGATACGCTCCTCCGAAACGTCGGCTAAAACGAAGAATACACGGCGCCAAAACCAAGAAGACAACTTTCTTCAAAATATTTTTGTATTCATCAGCCTTGGGTTTTCACTCATCAAGGATGAGCAACACAGGTTTGTTTACACCCCATTTATATACTTACTTACTCATGGAGCTGAGCCCTTCTGGGGGAGCCGCCAATTCTGCAGCTACTCAAGAATTTCCCAGCGTTTTATGGAACCTGAAGGTTCATTACTGTGTTCACAAGAGCCCTCCACTGGTCCCTATTCTGAGCCAGATCTATCCAATCCATACCATCCCATCCTATCTCTCTAAGATCCATTCTAATATTGTCCACCCACCTACGTCGTGGTCTTCCCTGTGGTCTCTTTCCTTCTGGCTTTCCCACCAATATCCTATACGCATTCCACCCCATTTATATGGTATATAAATATAAAAGATGTACCTTGAGTACGGTTCAGAAAGATTGTAGCAACAAGCAGCTGCCAAGGATCATGGTGCAAGTGTTCTTGTACCAAATTGAAAGGTGAGCGAGGGGGTGTCCACTTTGTTATTACATTACTCTTCAGCAGATTTTTATCAGAGGGAAAGGTGTTGTAGACCAGGTCATCAATATTATAATGGAGTATTTTATTATCAAACTTTGGTGTCGTTTCTTCAGTCTCTTCTTCATGAATTCTTTTAAACACAAGCGTTGGCTCGTCTTGTACTGAACTGGTACTGTGAACTCTTTTCACCTTGCTGTCTCTTATATCTGAATCATGAAGTGTGCTTGAAATTCTTTTACACATTCCATGACCAGCAAAATAGGTACTCGTTACTCTTCGGGATATACCCAGAGACTCATTTGATTTCAGAGTACATGTCGAAGATGGCTGCACTGATGTATCTGCTTCCCTGCTCTCAGAACCATCCACAAAATTCATATTTGGGCCATTCTTGTACCACAGGTCTTCGGCATTAACCTGAAAATTTCTGCAGTCAGATTCTGCTGATATCTCATTGGCTATTTCCCTGTCATCAATTAAATCTGAATCCTGAATTGTTCTGTTGATAATTTCAGGGTCTCCTGTGCAGTAAAAGCAAATTCCAAAATAATGCAATAAAACTGGTATCTATAGTTTTCAGTTATATTTAGCAACCAAAGTTTAATACAAACAAATTCTACACATGAACTAAATGCAATAAAGCAATCCTTGATACCAAAATTACATAACAAATTTTATTAGCAGAAGGGTGTAACCTTACCTGCCAATTTAACAGCTCTCCCATTCACAGAAAAATCAAAGTCATCAGCATTTAAATATAAAGCAGTCCCACGCAGAAATCGTTTCAACTCCCTTTTTGAGCGGAATTTTTTTCCTTCAGGACTGAAAAGACAATTTGTCGTAAGCCATAGAGGAATCAGAGGAATACAAAAGACTGCACACAAGAGCACACGTATAAAATGTTTCCTTCTGGGGTTCCTTAATGAAGCTCTGCACTTTGTTACATAATTTCATAGTTTTTAGTCAAAAGCTATTTTAATGTTACATCATTTTTTTTTACGACACATTATATTGGAGTTTAGAATCTGGCTATCTGCAAAAGGCTAAGATGCCAAGATTCTTACACCTGTGCACAAGTTTGTGGCAAAAGGAACAAACAAAAATAATTAGATACAGTTATGAATACAACAAAAGAGAACATATACTAGAGGGACCTTAAAAGCATGGGGAATCTAAGTTCAGACCTCAAAAGAATGATGTGCATATCTCTGAAGACAGAACTTTAAATCTGCCTAGATTGCAAATGATGTCCCCAAGATTACAAATGGTACTAGTGCACTGAATTCACGGGAATTCTTCTTTTGCATTTCTGCCAGTCATGGATTTGGTCAGTGACAGTTTTAAAAGAACAAAGAACATGAAAGATGATAAATTATGATGTGTTGTTGTAGAGGCCTGTACCCCCTGGTATGGTATTTGACCATTCCACCCACCTGGTGGAGGTGAAGCAGGGTATCCATCACTTTTATCAGAAGCCCAGAATGCCTTTAGAAAAAAATAAATGGTATTTCCATGCTACCCTTGATAATAATGTATGTGCAACATCCTAATGACAGACCCAAACTGCTAAATCACAGCCATACACCAACATGTGCCAATTTACCAGTGCTGCCAACTGCTGCACAAATTTGAGTCTGTATTACTATCAGAGATCATACAGTGTGAGCAGGGCAAAATAGGGTAGAAAATTGTCATGGCTTACTGCAACAAAATATTATTACAAACTAAGTTCACTTCACAAGCTCATTTTTCAAAACAAAACTTGCAAAACTTATACAGAAGTAACACAACTGACTTATACATACATCACGTTTGACTGGAATTCACATTTCCGTCATGTACTTTTCTCACCAGGGCATCAGAATGTGCTTCACTGCTTGTCCATATGAATGCTACCACCTTCCCATTTTAAACAGCGGTTGGCATCCCTACTACACCCCAGTCTACCTGACAGCATTTTGATGTCATGGGATAATTAAGGTAATGAATTATCTTTGTTGTGCACCATTGCATATAAACTTACATGATAGATGCGAGTGACAGAATACAGGTAGTTGCAGGAAACTGGCTGAGCCAGTTCACACAAGACTTCAAGGTCAAAGCAAAACACAGGCATAAACACACTAAATAAAGTAGAACCAATATGTTACATTTGTATTATTTCCCTGTTTAAGCACACAGCCAGCACAGTGGTTTAAGTAAGCAACACAACTGAAATTCGCCTTCTAACTCAGTTTCACTTAAATAATAAATATATTTACTTCTGATCTTTGTGAATAACTTTAATGCCAAGGAAATACTGTATAAGTGTCCTTCTCCTTGTTTGAATAATTTTTTTTAATCAGAGCACATGACAAACTTGTCCAAACTGTCCCAAAGTAAGATGTATAACATCCTCAGTTTGGAGCCGAATTGTACCCCATGCGCTGGAAACTCAATATTTCAAGTTACTTCATTCACAGATGAATGTCCATCAGTCAGTATTCTAAGTGGAGCAATTCAAACAGAGAAACTGCATCATAATTACCCTGCAAGCACCTCCATAGACTAGCAATCCTAATATATACATCACACATGTTTACTATTATATTTTAGGGTGCGCCGACTTTGAAGCTGTATCGAAACTAATGTCTGGCCTTTCTCATCAGAACTTCATACTTCCTGGTGCTGCTAGAAATTCAAAGCTTCCACTGAAACCCATCATCTTCCATGCACAAGACAATGAATATGCTGTTATAATATTCATATAAGAGCTTGACTGACACTAAAATATATTGGACAGATATATAAACCCCAATGAACAAATATAAACAAAATTCCCAAATCAAAATAATTGGCAATGCCAGAATTAATCCACAACAGTGCAATATGCAGCACTAGAGTCTGATGAAATTTTATAGCCAGGAATCAGAAATAACATTAAGTGCTTCAGAAACCAATACTACACTCCTCCCCCTATACATATATAACAAAGATACTTGACTGCAAGGTTCCATGGATTGATTTCTGTAATGGTGGAATTCATTCTATTACATTAAAAAGTAACTATATAATTGACTTTCTTTTATTTTACTTGTACCACACAAAGAAATGTCCTATTTTAGTTTTACATTTGCAAGGTTGTGTGAGTGGAACTGATACTATGAGCACCAAATTGGTTCCACAGTAAAACAAGTTGGGGAAAGGCTAAATACTGCTCTGCAGAGCTTTTATCAAATGTCATCAAGTCATAATCTCCTGCAATTCTTTCTTCAATGGTTCTGTAGCCCCTATCTACAAAGAAACTGACACTCCAGTTCCTCACCTTGCCTGTTTTACGTACATTTGTATCTATTTTGTCCCCTGAACAATGTTATGGAACAACCTTGGTTCTTACCTGAAAATATAGACATCAAATTTGCCAGCTGTTGCACCCTTCTTTCTCTGCACAACACTCCTTCTCCAGCCTTCAGGAAGCCTCAGATCAACATACAGATGCCCTTGCAGAATGAGAAATACAACAAATTAGAAGTAATAATTTATATTTACCAATGAAATACACTGTATTAAAACAAATCACATCTATAAATTAACATCACACATAAGTTCAAAATGTACTACAAAGAAATTATATTCTCTAGTGAGATAACAAAAGTAGGAAAGTATGTATTTCACATCCAATTTAAAAAAGAATGTTTACTGCACAAATGGTATACTGAGGACACAATGATATATATGAGGTTCTCAAGATGATATCAAGGGCTCAGGTATAAGGGTTTGTTGCCCAACCTCTCCTGGACTCGTCAAGACAGTACACCACATTAAGTCACGACCATTTCCTTCCGCATCTTCTTAGTCATTTCCAAGGCATAGGTGGGTGGACAATATTAAAATGGAGCTTAGAGAGATAGGATGGGATGGTACAGACTGGATTGGTCTGGCTCAGGATAGGGACCAGTGGAGGGCTCTTGTGAACATGGTAATGAACCTTCGGGTTCCATAAAATGCTGGGAAATTCTTGAGTAGCTGCAGAATTGGCGGCTCCTTAAGAAGGGCTTGTGAACACAATAATGAACTTTTGAGTTGCATAAACTGCTGGGAAATTCTTGAGTAGCTGAACAATTGTTGACTTCTCAAGAAGGCTTCAGCTCTGTGGAGTTAGTCACTTAAACAGGAGGATGAAGAACAACTTGATATATCACAGAATGGAGTCATAACTACTAACATTCCAAAAGCATTTTATACAGCACCATTCAGTGAGGAGTTCCCTAATGATGATGGCTCAGTTTCATCTGCAGGTTCAAGGTTCAACCCTATAAATCTACTAGTTGCAGTTTACAAATTGTGTTCTTACTTACCGGTCCCAACAGCAGGTTCAGTGTCTTCAGTACAGTCATCACCTTTAATTTTGATCCCATTAAGTTCTCTGGGTTCCTGGTTAACAACTGAACACTTTTTTCTTTGAGCTGACTTCATGCTTGATGAATGTGATCTTTTAACCTTGCCTCTCTGACCAAAATGTACTACTGGAGAGAACACATGTTCTGGAGTATGAAAATCTTGCATTTGACTTTGTTCACAACAATTACATTCAGCACCACAAAACTATTCCTTTGTACCTTCAGTTTTGTTTTCCACTCTATGTTTGTGGTTAATATCCAGCACCTCAAAACATTTATCTGTGATTCCAACAACATTCAGTTCAGTGTCTGCAATGGGTTCAGTAATTTTAGTTGTTTAGTTAATTTAATAATGTTTTTTAAATTACAGCCATTTCAGAATTTAAAATTACTGGAATATCTGAATCACAGATGATCACAAACTGTGTTAAAACTCTCGTTCTACTTAAGGCAAATATTAACCTATGAGATACCATGCTGGTGAAGGAGTATTATAGAACCAAACCAGGCATTTAATTTACAGTGTTGTCCAATTTCGTGAAATGGAGAAGAAGGGCAATCCTATAGTTCCTATAAGGGAAACATTTAAAACTTAAATTGTAAGGTTCATATTCAAAAGCAATGCAATTCTGTGGTTGTCACTTGATGTGGACGGTACGTGGTTTCTTCTTCGCACTTATCAAAATATTCTACTTTAATGCCAACAATATACCAGGTTATACTAATATGAAGTCTTTATATGCATCAAAACCTAGAACACAAGGCATACATAAACACACTCTATAAACCTCATGGGTTGCAGCGTGAAAGCTTGTAAGGTTTCCACACTGCACATCGCTGCCACGCACCCCCCCACTAATGCCATTCAAAACAGAATATGTTACATATTATTTTTTTATCGCTAGTGGGGTGGGACTAAGTCCCTTGTACCGAGGTCACTTCTGGCCTATTGTACTAGCCTTAGATGATAGGTGAGGGTGATTGGTGGAATGAAGACTGGCAGGGGAAATCGAAGTATTCGGGGAAAACCTGCACCAGCGCCACTTTGTCCACCACTAATCTCACTTGACCAGACCCGGGATCGAACCCGGGCCGCCGCGGTGAAATAATATCACATACATTATAACTTGAGATAGAGCGTAAAACCCTTCTTATATACAGTGTTCAATATTTCAAAGAAAACAGTTTCGTTTAACCACATCCCACCCACTCCAGCAAAACGGCGACTAGGGCTTTAAACTTCCGAAATACTTAATATTTGATTCAAAACACCTAAATATGTCACCATAAATAATTTAGCACTTTACTAAAGTTCTCGAAGGGCATAAATAAAAGTATAGCACTAACAGCATTAACACAAAAATCCGAAAACTGCCCCACTAACTCACGCATCACGGATACATTTCTTTTCAGCCCAAATTTTTTATCTCCGACCTTCGCCGTCAGAGAGTAATTTGGAGCACAAATAATGTCACAGATGAAGAACCTTACTTACTTACTCATGGAGGTGAGCCCTTCTTGAGGAGCTGCCAATTCTCCAGCTACTCAACAATTTCCCAGCATTTTGTGGAACCCGAAGGTTTATTACCGTGTTCACAAGAGCCCTCCACTGGTCCCTATCCTGAGCCAGATCAATCCAATCCATAACACCCCTTCCTGTCTCTCTAAGATCCATTTTAAGCAAAATAAACCATGGAAGGTCGCAGTGCTCAGGCCTGTATTATGGCCCAAACCTCATACTCAAGATCCATTTTAATAATGTCCACCAACCTACGCCTTGGTCTTCCCAGTGGTCTCTTTCCTTCTGACTTTTCCAACAACATCCTATATACATTCCTCGTCTCCCCAATTCGCGCTACATGCTCTTCCCATCTCATCCTCCTTGACTTGATCATTCTAATTATACTTGGAGAAGAGTACAAGTTATGAACCTCCTCATTATTCAGTTTTTTCCAACCTATTTGCACTTCATCCCTCTCCGGTCTGAATATTCTCGTCAACATCCTGTTCTCAAACACCCTCAGTCTATGTTCCTCCCTTAATGTCAAAGACCAAGTGTCACACCCATACAGAACCACAGGCAAAATTACAGTTTTGTATATTATAATTTTTATATTTTTGGACAGCATACGAGAAGACAAAAGTTCTTGACTGAATGGTAGCACCCATTACCCAAGTTCAGTCTCCTCTTAATTTCCTCCTCAAATAGCTTTTGATTTGTTATCGTCGCTCCCATATACCTGAACTGTGCCACATTTTCAAAACATCTGTTTCCTACCCTTATGTCATGATTTTGCCCTGCATTTTGGTGACGAGACAGTAACATATACTTAGTTTTCTCTGTGTTCACTTCTAGACCAACCTAGGAATATGACGTGTTATCTTACGTCCATCGCCGCGCAACGGCTACAGTGGAAATTGTGGAGATCACACAGCGACAAATCACACCAGCGACATTTTAGTATTATATGATATCCTATCACTAACGAACTTTATCCTCTTAACTGCTGATACAATTCTTTTATGTACGAAAAAACCTGTACCTAATTCATGATTTTCATCCCCCTTTCCATAGAAAAATGTATATTCCCCTGCTGGTTCGATGCCACCTCCCTCCCATCTGATCTCCTGTACTCCCGCAAAATCTAACTTATATTTTAAGATGTCTCCTGCCACTGCCCTGAGCGAACCTGCTCTAAACATACTTCTGACGTTCCACGTACCGAATCTCATACCCATTTTCTTTAGCTTGGGTCGTTTATCCAAGGAATCCGTCCAGGTCCTAGGGGTTGTGTTCATTTTCATAACAAGATTATTTTTTACGGTTAGGAGTTATTAACCCCAAGCTCAACACCCAAGCTCTAGGATCAACCCTTGTCGGCTGTCCGTGACTGCTTATTCAATATATTCGCAACTTCCCTCCAGACCTAGAGGGCGTTACCTCCATCCACAACCTGAGGACGCGCCATGCCCTGGTGACAAGGGACCCATATAATATGGACAGATGAAGAACTGGTTTTCCTACAAGTTTTTCGGTCTGGTGGTTGAAGGCACAACTCCAAAATTAGGTTTTGTAGGTTGTGTGTACTAGTCATCTATTGCTCCTGCCCTAACCTATAAAATGAATTCTTCAGAGGAGCGGTTTTCACAGCCCAATAAGGAAGATAATAAGAAACCAAGATGCTACAATTTTAACTACACTTCGTGGCTTTCTATGAGGTTTCAGTCTCGACTGTTCAGGATTTATTCCACAGATAGCGCTACAGTTTCTACTTCATTTTTTCTATATTATATTTAAGCATCCTGTTACACTCACACAATATATATGAGACAAACTCCGTCTTAAGTGCAGCAATTTAATTGTAGTTCTTCCTTCTTTCCTTCCTCCACACTACATGTTTCGGCCCTAAAAGGCCATCATAAGGTGCATATTCTTACGTAGCTGCTACACTGCCCGTAGTTTAAAATTTAAAACATCAGTCTTTTCAATTGTATGTAAGTATAAAATCTTTGTTAACCTACACACGTCAATTTGATTTCCAAAATTGGCACTTTTTAAAATTTCAATTTCAAATTAAAATCTCTTTAAATTTTCCGTTCTTTTCCAAATTTTAAAATTAAAATTTCTCGGGGTACTCTCCCTATGTCTATAGTGCTGCAGCGGCCACTTCTTGTTTTATCGCTGTTCAGGTATTGTTCTGTGTAAGCTCTCTGTGCGTGTGCCGCTGTCAATCTTTAATTTTAATTTAATTTAATTTTGGAAATCAAATTGACGTGTGTAGGTTAACAAAGATTTTATACATATATACCATTGAAAAGCCTGGTGTTTTAAATTTTAAACTAAAGGAAGTGTAGCAGATACGTAAGAATATACACCTGATGATGCCATTTAGGGCCGAAACATGTAGTTTGGAGGAAGGAAAGAAGGAAGAACTACAATTAAATTGTTGTACTTAAGACGGAGGTTTACTCATATATAATTTCTTCTTGTTAGCGTGGTCACAAGTGATTAAATAACTGCGTGATGTTAAGGGCGGCATGGGAGGGTTCCCAGGTTTCCATAATCTCATACACAGTACCTCCTGCCCTAACATAAAAAATGAATTCTTCAGACGAACTGGTGTATGGTTTAGAAGATACATGGTTCGAAGACATGAAAGAAAAAATTAAGAAAATTTGTGCATGTAGGAAGCAAGTCGTACTATATGAGGAAGGCGAAGGTAATAAATTTTTATTGATCAAGGGGTACGTGGGTAAGACATTGGCGGAGTATTGGGAAGGTACCGGGTTCTAGACCACTGTGTCTTTTGTCAATAGAAATTGAAAAGTGAATAAATAAATCCGATTTTCTGCAGCTATAAACCAAGTCGTATAATATAAGGACGATCGCAGACAGCTATGCAGTACATGGTCTGGTGGTCTAGTGGTCTAGTGGTTAGGCACCGGAGCTGCAAGTTTAAGGTTGGTGGTTCGAATACAGAAGTATTTTTGTAATGAGATTTTTATTGAATTATATAGCGAAATGTAACATAAGAGGAAGATTAAAACTCAAAATTTTCCGTGCAATCGGTGGCGTATTGGTAAAACACCGGCGTAGTGAACAAGAGTTGGAAGGTTCGAAACCAAGTATAGTTTTGTGATTTAGAAAGCAAGTTAATTGATTTTTCTGGAATTGTAGTCGAAGATGTAGCTTAAGAGGAAGATAAATGAAAGTAAATTTCAGTGGAGCTGGTGGTGTGGGGGTAACACATCAGCTTAGTGTTCAGGCGGTCCCTGGTTCAAAACCAGTAGGATTTTTGTGAAAAAGAAATGAAAAGAAGAAATTAGTGAAGAGGGAGACAGAAAGGGAAGGACGGAGGGGGGGAGGGAAGCTTTTTGCGGCCGCTTAAAACACTCGCCTTAGCGACTTGCGTCGCCCC